CTTTGCAAATATGTAAACATAAATCACATTTCATTTTGCCTTGATTATAATATCTGACTCAAATAAACTGTGAATATGTAATTATATAGCATTTCATTGTTATAGCTGTCATTTATATGAAAATAAAAACCAAGCCAATCTTCTTCCAGTTTATTAAATAAAACTCAGAACACAAATGGATATTAATTACTAATATTTGTAAAACCATCTTCATTACAAACTAGAGAAGAACTTCTAATGGCTAATTTTTGGAAGTTCATTATATTTTATCAAGATAGGAATTATACATCATAGTCCACATGGAATGGAAAAACCACTGATGTAACCTGATCTCAAAGTTTACTATTTTCCTATTAATCAGGAATAAAATTGACTTCTTAAGCATTGGTTTCCTTATATGTGAAATGAGGATAATATATGCCTCAAAGTACTGCTAGGTGTCATTGATACTGTCAGACTCAAACCGTGCTAAGCATTATGGGCTAATCAGATTTTCATTGCTATCAAAAACCTGAGATAAAAAACCTAAAAAGGAGGATTTATTTTGGTTCAGCATTTCAATCTATAGTCACATGGCAAGGTACATGGCAGAGGAGAGCTGATCACTTTACACAGGTTGGGAAACCAAAGAAAAGGGTTGGGATATCCCCTTCAAGGACATGCCCCACTGACTTAACTTCCTTCCCCTAAACTCAACTCCAAAAGTTTCTCCCAAGTTGATGGGAGCACAAGTTGATGACCAAGCCTTTACCATATAAGCCTTTGGAAGACATTTAAGTTCCAAATCCTAACAGTACATCTTAAATATGGATTCTCTGGCTATATTTAGTTTCACTGAAAGGTACATAAAATATTGCAAGATCAAATTTTCTCACCCTCAGAAAGAAAGAGACTGTCAATACCACTGCATGGTGAGAAGCATGTAACTATCATTTGGTATTTATATTTAACACTTAAAACCACTCAGTTATTCTTTGAAACCACAATGTCCATTTAAGACTTACAACTTGGGCAGACTGTTTAATATCACACCATCTCTGTAGCAGTTTTAAGGACTCTTGAGATGCTTTCAACTTATGAATATCTGAGGAAAATACCTCCAGAAAGAGCCAGAAAGTCCCCTGAAAGAGAAGGCTGAGATTATTTTGGATTTCACTTTCACTCACATTTTCCTCTGAAAAAGTTGCTGCTTATGAATTAGTTTCAGCAGCAGGTATGCAAGGGCAGAAACAAAAGAAATCTGTAGAAACAGGAGGGAGGTTTCCTACAATCATGTCCGTTTTCAACCCTAAAAGACTGAAGCCTTCTAGTGAAAAAACATCTGGTTACTGAGCATACCTATCTGGCTATAACTAAGAGCACCAGAACTAAAAAGTAGGAAGTAAACAACAAACAGTGAAAAAAACCAAAACCAAAACCAAAACAAAACAAAAACCCTACTGATTACAAAAGAAATTCTAGCTTTTGTTGTAACCTTGGAATAGTAGCCCTGGTTACCATTCATATTAGGACAGAGCAACTTATAAAAAAAAATAAAAGGCTAGGTAAACAGAAACAAGTTCAAGTGACCAAAACATGCTTTTCATAGGTCCACCACCTTATTCAGCCCTCCAGTTTGCCTGAGAGTACACAGAAACTCCTTTCCTAGAATACTTTGTAGGCCTTAGCCCATTGCTTTCTTCCCAACTTGGTTTCAGCTAGAACATTCAACTTGTTATCTATTGTATCCTCTTCCACACCTAATGAAAGGTTTCCTTTAAATAAAGGGACAGAGTATGAAAATTATTGCAGGAAGTTATCCCTAATTTGAACTACATAGGATTAAACAAAATATGAATGTTAGCTATATCTGGCCCAAACTTATCCCCTTAGTATAAATAGCATTATTTAAAAAAACTTAAGGCTTTTTGCAAAATCAACTATGGTTAGGATTACGCTATGGGGGTAACTTGATCAGGGGTGATGCTGAAAGCTCAATCCAGATACTGGTTTCTATTGCTATGATTATCTCCCCAATCACCAGTCTTTATCCAGAAATTCAGATGTAGAATTTTAATCAACAGTTCTAAAATGTCTGTTCAATTAAATATGCTATTAAAGGGAGCCAAGAGAGGGTATCCCTAGCTCAAACTTAATAACATTAATAACTGGATGAAAGAGAAATTAAGAAAACTATCCCATTCATAATAGCCTTAAAAAAATAGAATACTTGGGAATCAATCTAACAAGAGGTGAAAAAACCTCTGCAGCGATAACTACAGAACACTAAAGAAATTAAAGACGACCTTAGAAGATGGAAACATCTCCCATGTTCTTCGACAAGCATATTATCAAAATGCACTATACAGATTTAATGTAATTTATATGACATTCTTCATAGAAATAGAAAAAGCAGTTATGAAATTCATTTGGAAAAATATGATGTCCAGAATAGACAAACAATCCTCATCAAGAGAATCAGGAGACATCACAATACCAGACTTCAAATTATACTACAGAGCCATAGTAACAAAAAAGCATGCTACTGGCACCCAGACATGAAGGTCAATGAAACAAACAGAATAGAAGACATAGACAGAAAGTCACATAAACACAGTTATCTTATATTAGACAAAGGTGCTATAAACACAAATTGGAGAAAAAACAGCCTCTTCAACAAATGGTGTTGGGGAAACTGGAAATCCATACATAGCAGAATGAAATTTAACCCCTCTCACCTTGCACAAAACTCAAAGTGGATCAAGGACCTAGGCATTAGACCAGAAGACCCTATACTGACCAGAAGAAAATGTAGGCCCAACTCTCCATTTTGGCTTAGGAAATGACTTCCTTAATAAGACTCCAAAAGTGCAAGAAATAAAATCAAAGAATCAATAAATGGGATGGTATAAAACTAAAAAGCTTCTGCACAGCAGAGGAAACAATAAAAAATGTGAAGAGAGAGCCTACAGAATTGGAGAAAAATTTTTGCCACCTGCACCTCAGACAGAGCATTAATTTCCAGGATATATAAAGAACTCAAAAAACTTTTAACACCAAAAAACCACAAATAATCCAATCAATAAATGGGCAAAGGAACTGAATAGGTACTTCTCAAAAGAATACAAATGGTCAATAAATATATGAAAAAAATGTTCAACTTCTCTAGCTATTAGAGAAGTGCAGATTAAAACTACACTGAGATTCCATCTCACTCCAGTCAGAATGGCAATTATCAAAAACACAAGTAACGATAAAGGTTGATGAGGATGTAGGGAAAAAGGTACATTCATACATTGCTGATGGGACTGCAAATTGGTGCAACCACTCTGGAAAGCTGCATGGAGATTCCTTAGAAAATGGGGAATGGAACTAACATCACTTGACCCAGTTATCCTACTCCTTGATATACACCCAAAGTACTTAAAATTAGCACTATAGTGATACAGCCTCATCAATGTTTTTAGCAGCTCAATTCACAACAGCTAAGCTATGGAACCAACCTAGGTGCCCTTCAACAGATGAATGGATAAAGAAATGTGGTATATATACACATGGAATATTACTTGGCCATAAAAAATAACTTTATGACTTTTGCCAGTAAAGGGATGGACCTAGAGATCATGCTAAGGAAAATAAGCCAATCTCAAAAAACCAAAGGCTGAATGCTCTGATATGTGGATGCAAAAATATAATATGGGGAGGAGAGAAGAATAGTAGTTCAGTGATTTAGACAAAGGGGAATGAATGAAGGGAAGGGAGGGTGATAGGGAATAGGAAAGACAGTAGAATCAATCAGACATAACTTTCCTATGTCATATATGCATACGCCACTAATGAAACTCTACATCATGTACAATCACAAGAATGGAATCCTAATTACAGTAAGTTATACTCCATATATGTTTGTCAAAATACATTCTACTGTAATGTTTATCTAAAAAAAATACAGAGTAAATAGCTGAAAATAATTAAATGTCTCTCTCTCTCTCTCTCTATATATATATATATAAATGTATGTATGTGTGTGTGTGTGTGTGTGTGTATTGTGTAAGATTCACAAGTCTCTGATTACTTATCTCAAATGCACAATTCAGAAAATGGGTAGAACTTCACTCATTCTATTTAAATCTGTCAATATTTCTTCTGTATCTGTAATAAGTTTCTAAAACAGACAATTATTAAAAGAATAAAACCAAAACCATAAATTTAGCAACTAAAGAGGATAGTTTGCTGCCATGAAGTCTTCATCATACGAATTTAACTTGACTTTGAGACTACAGTATTCCCAATGTGGGAATTTAGTTTACACATCAACAGAGATAAAAAATAAACAAAAAATTCCAGAATTGTTCACTATTCTTTTCATGAGAAAAATCTACTTCTTTCTAATTAACCATACAAACTATAACTTCTAATAGTCTATTATTCTTTAAAGAAAAAAAAAGAAAAGAAAGAAACCAAAGAGCAAATAAACAAAACCTCACATATATGAAAATTATGACCAAAACAGACTTCCAATATTTTTCTACTACTGGAAAAATGCAATAAATGCAATTGTACTAAAGGACGCTATATCTCTTTATGAATCCCAAAATTTGAGAAATCACATAGTATCCCTGTAAGAATTAAAAGTAAATAAATACAAAGGGAAAAAGAGAATAGGCATATTAAAAATTTGACTCTAATTCTAATTAACTATGAGCTTACTGGCATAAACCAATAAACACAATAACTGAAAATGTGTTTTGGCACTATAAAAAGCTTTCCACCAGTTAAATTCAACTGTCTATAATCACATTTAGTCTGGAAGCTTAGGCTAAGAGCTTAGGAAACTTATTGTATAGTTTGTGATGTGACCATGAAATATCACTTTACTTCAAACATACCAATATTTGGCCTGTAGAATGTCCATGACATTTTAAAATCCCACAAAATGTTAATTCTGGGCAATATTTTTAATAAGAAAAAAAACTTTAAAAATTCTAAAGGCATAGAAAATCAGGATAAATTCATTTTAATTGTGGAAAAAAAATTTAATGGGATTTTAAACTATCAAATCTGTTTTTCCCCTTATGAATACAATATACAACTATTTCTTTATGACAAGTCTATGAACACCATAAATAAAATTATTATTCCTATCATGGTTTATAATTTAATGAGTCCCTAACATTACCTTAGCCAACAACACAGGTAACCTGCATTATACCAGATATATTAAATAGCATTCATCCAAAAGCTCTGAAATATAGAACTGACATCTTTCTGCATTTGAAACTTAATGGCTTTTGAGGTGGAGGAAAAACTAAAGTATTTAAAGACACCACAACATCTTAAAATCTGTAATGAAAGGGAAAAATTATAAATACCAATTAAAACTCACAAGTTATAATAATGTGAAACAAATTTGTCATTTTAGCTGATTTTCAATGTTTACACATGCAACATAAATTACAAATATGCTTAACATTATATCATCAAAAGAAAATAATGAAGTATAAAATATTTATCAGATTATTGCATTTAATGTCATTTTTTTTGAAAACCCAAAATTTCATATTCCTTAATGTTCTACCAAACATAAGCAAAACCAGTCCAAATTAGAGAAAACGTATGCCAACATCAGCTTCTGACAACAAAGATAAAGAAGCTGAAGCTCTACAATTTATCTAATTTAGGTCAGATAATAATGGAAACAAAGAATATTAAAATTATTTATTTTATAATTATGCACATTGAAGGAAAGCATAATAGCAGAGTTCTTTTCCATCATAAAATTATTTACAACCATTAATTTAGCTAGAAACACTAGCTTGAGAGGTACTGGTATATTCCATTCGTAATAATTTCTCTACAGCAAACAACTGTCTTATATTTGGAGCATGTTGAAGAAAATATTGTCTCATAAGTCCTTTTTGTTCTTTTGAGTCTTAATTACTAGGAGTTCAAGGTACTTTGGGAGAATTCTGGTGTCCTGGATGGCCTGATGAATGCACTGAAATTAAGCAGTGTGTTTGTATTCTGAAAATATTCTTAAATCCAAATAAATGATGTCTGGGTTGTGGAGCTCAGATTTCTCCTACTGGCACTATGACATTTGAAGAACATTTGTTATGAAAGTTTCACACCAATTTTATTTTGTTCTTTCTTCATTAGCCTCTGTGCTTCCTTTTCCATTTTCTTCCTCTGTTGTTCTGCTGCTCTCTTTTCTCTGTCTGCTATTTTCTGCTGCCTGAAGAAAAATATATGATATCTTTACTTTTAGAAAACACCAAAAGGGAAAAATGGCAAATAAATTCCAGAAAGAAATTATACTGTTTTTTCCACCATCATAAAATAAAACACTTGATTTTCTCACTGCTTAAAAAATTTCAAAGATTTCCATAAACAGAAATTTCTGCTGATCCTTAGAACTTAACTTGCAAAATAAAAGAGATATTATCTATTTTACAAATAAGTAAAATGAGACATAAAGGCTAAGTGGTATGCCCAAAATCAATAAGTACATAATATACATCTGCACAGTGGCAAACATGCCTGTTATCCGAGCAGCCTGGGAGGCTGAGGCAGGAGTATTCAAAGTTCAAAGCCAGCCACAGCAACTCAGTGAGGACCTAACCAATTTAGGGAGGCCCTATCTCAAAATAAAAACTAAAAATGGCTGTGGATGTGGTTCAGTAGTTAAGTGCCCCAATGTTCAATCTCTAGTACCAAAGGTGGGTGAGGGAAGAATCTACATCTTTTTACCTTTCTTAGGTTATCTGTACTAAGATACTACTTCCATTCAACCACAGCTTTTTATGGGAATATTATTCAGAAAAGTTTGATATTGAGGATAAAATCTTGTTATTATAATAGTTTAAAACAATCAGGTAAAGGATGTTAAAAACACAGTTGTGCAGAATACTCCCTGTAAGAAAATAAAAACTTAAGACATACCTTCCACTTAGAAGTTAGAAATCTATTTAAGGATTAACTTTTGATCAGCTTTATTATGGGGCATAGTGGTGGGTATTTGCTAATTCCACATTATGAATACATATCTTCTCCTTAGCCCCTTCCATAACTCCACTAGCCCCAAACCTCTCTAATCTGTGGACTGACTTATGCAGGGAGTCGGGGGGGGGGGGGGGGGGGGGGGGGGGGGGGGGGGGGTAGGACTGGGTGAAGAAACAGGAAGAGAAGGACCATAAGTTGGTCCTGAATCTGAAGAGTTAGGGTGTGAGAAAATAACTCAAGCATGCAAGGTTAAGGAAGGAAGGTGTAAATCACAACGGGGCATGGGATAGGTAAAAAACACATTACCTATATATGGTACCATATATACAATTTAATTATCTATGGTACCCTTTTTACAACTTAAAAGCTGAGTATAGTGAGCAAAATGTATATATACATACAGTTCTAAATCATACTTACAAATGGGAGTAAGAGAAACATTTTTGGAACCATTTTGACTGTCACTATGTACTAAACTAAGCTTAGAAAGAACAAAATGACTTTATTATCATTACTTAACTAAGTTTCTAAAGAACAAAAGTGAATCTACTTTTCCCTACCTCTGCTCACTTGCATGAAAAACTGATAATTTGCACAAAAAACCAACACATTAGCAGCAAAAAAGGAGATAGGAAAAGAACTATAAAGGGTTGGAAAGGTTATAAATAAATACAATAATCAAGCTTTGACCTGGTTATTAGCTAAAGTAAAAACATCAACAACTACTGTACGCACACAAAACAATTTATAGATCGCTGTACATAAAAAATATATTTCACCTCTCCAGATTAATGTCTGGAATTGACAAAGTACTAGCTTCTCACTTTAACAATACCGATCATAATACTAGAGTATTTTAAGGTGTAAATGGGAGAAGTCTGAGAATAAGAGGAGATGGCATATGGACATAACTTTTACATTGCTGTTTTTCTAGGAGTAGCAATGACACATGGAAACCTTCAAGTCCCTTCAGTTGAACTTGTGCAATGTGCAGCAGGAAGCATGTCTTTTATTGACAACAGTCTCACTCTCTGAAGCTGCTATTATAATGCAAAATTCTATTATTATTTTTTTTTAAAAATCTGGTTTCAGAAGCAAGAGGACAAGATGGAAGAGAGGTTTTGGTACTGATACTTATGAGTTCACGGCATAAATTATACAAACTATCATTAAGATGAATGGATTCAAAATGAACTGCTTTTTCCTTTATCCTTGGCTAATGGTACTAGTAATCACTAAATCCTCCAAATTTTCTAAAACACTGTGAATTTTGAATCTATGACTAATTTTAAAAACTGAATTTATTATGATCCTTGCAACATAACTGTTACAGCCCACAGTTAAAAAAAAAAAATTCTTTTACAAAAGACTAAGCTATCCTGACTAAGCAGGCACTAAATATTAAAAACTCTTACAATCTTACTGACTGAATATTAAAATGTGACCACCTTACCTGTCCAAGAAAACACAAACAAAAATGACATGCTGAAAACATAAAGGCCAAGATAAAAACAGCAGCAGTAACTTTCAGCTATTTAATTGCACCCTCTGCTGGTTATTAAAGATAATTGTAATTTACCAACAAAGACAAGAAAGGAAAAAACAAAAATAAAATCTGTTTAGATAATGATAATTCATTTTCTGTCCCTATGATAAAAACAATCTGAATTTCAAAATACAAAAAAAACCCATTGTAACTTATTATGTATTTTTAAATGCATAAGTAAATTAAGTACATTTAAATGAATTTTAATCATTGATCATAATCATAAGCTCTCCTTTAAGATAATTTTCTTTTCACTCTTTGACCTAATATAGAAATAACAAGAACTCAATTTACTGCTCACAAAAACAAAGAAAGAACCATCAACAAAAATGAACTTTAAACCCTCAGAATAGCATTTACTTTTCTGTAGGATAGGCAGATTATAACTTCTCCACTATGTTCAAGAGCTTTCACTACACTAAACTTTGAGGATATTAAGAAAAAGTAATCAATTCTGACCCACAAAAAATATACAGTGGTAGTTCACATTTCATAGTACAACATAATGATTACAAAAGTTATTTGTATGTAAAAGATTTCCCTTGTTCTTAATACAATTACATTATTTTATTTCTATAAAGCTTTAATTTTTGGTATCATTACAAAATAGTGTATGCAGTCTGAGATACAGAATAAGCTCATGTTAGATATCTAAGATTAAATGAGGAAAAATGAAAATAAGACAGACATTTGACAGAACAGGCCTCCCTGATCTTAAACACAATGGGGAACAAATCTACTACTCAGGATGTGATATAAATATCACTCAAATACCTCAGAACTTCTTCTGCTTGCCAGGCTGCATCTTCTTCTTCTTCCCATGCATTGGTATTTTCTTGCCAGGTATCTAAGTCACCTAATTCAGACTAAATTAAAAACGAAGCAAAATTAAGACAATGCAGAGCCATCTTTTCTCCACACAGCAGACAAGAGTATCTTCTAAAACATTCAAAACCTGTCACTCTCCTGTGGTTTCTGAACTTCTTTACCATGTCTTCTACAAAACACAAATGATCTGGGCCTTGAGTTGCCTAGAACTTTTGGGTTTCCTGAAGTTACAGGACTTTCAGTGCTAAAAAGTCTTGGGCAAGTTCAGTTTTCTTCCTATATTGTTTTACAGGATACTATTTTATATGGAATAGTTTCCAAACTAGCATAGTCATCTTCACCCAAGTATATGTAATTCTGTAATTAGTAGATTTGTTCAGTTCCACTTACTATCTCTGTCTTAGGCAAAAATTTCAAATCAGGAAAAATTTATCTTACCTAGAATACTATTTCTTCCTTTTTTCTGCTCTACATAACTGATATCATCAGGCTCCTCACTAAATTCTACTATTCCCCAATTCAAACCTCTAAAAGTTTTCCTCCCACCCCCTCAATGCCCTCAGTCTTCCAAGAACCAATAAAACTGAGATGTTTAGTTAGGTGTGGAAGTGATAATATGTATTAACGGGTAACAAACTGCAAATTGATAACATTGTTTTGAATACTTACCCCATTTAAAAAAAATGTTTTGAGTTTCTTTCCTTGACAATAAAAACAATAACATCCTGTTAAATATTCCTAAAATGTTTCTGATTATCTGTTTGGTATGTTTATAGAAATAAAGCAGTTAACACAAAAGAAGCATTTTTAAAGATACTGAAACAAAATACAGATGACACTCTTGAAAAGTTGTCCCTACTTAATCCTCTTCACAGCAGTTGGTAGAAGTCTTGGTTTCCTTATACCTTTGTCAATACTGATAATGGCCTTCTTTTCTACATTTGCTAATTTGATAAAACTTAAAAAGGGTGTCTTGTCATTTTACTCTGAATTTCTTTGAGAATCAGATCAAACTTTTCTTCATGTTTTTAGGTTATGTCTATTTCTTATTTGCAAATTTTACCTTCATACTATTTCCCAATTTTTCCAACTGAGGTATTTTGACTATTAGTATAGGTACAACATTTAGATATAAGAAAAGTAAAAGTATCAAGATCATATTAATAGAGATGGCCTTCCAAGTAAAATAGAAAAGATTGAAAAGGATTAGATAGATTTGCCTACACAAAAATTAGATTCATCTGCCCATCAAAAAACATCAAACCAAATTATAGTTAAGAACTGAAAAAGCATAAAAGAAGACAGAAAAAAGTCGATATTCTTAGTATAAAAAGAATTCCCATAATACAAATGATAAATTTCATTAATTTTACAAATCAGACTTCATTTAAACTGAACATTCTAAGATAATTTTGGTGTAGAGAACAAAGTCCAGTTGGTTAGTATTCTTTCCTATGCAATCAGTTCCCCTTGACTTTATCTGCTTTGGAAAAAAAAATATGTAACAACAGCATTGGAGAACTCCTTCATCTACCCCATGTACCACACTCTTCACTCTCCAAATGGTTGTATATTTTCAACTTTACAATGAGCTCTATAAGAATTATAACAACAATTGTAATTAGAATTAGAATTATAGTTAGGCAGTAAACATTACTAATTCTCTGGTTAGAACTAAACCACTTTACCAATATGAATAATAAAGTTTAAAACTGAGAAATGGACAAAATTAAATATTATAATGCTATGTTATTCAGAGATATATCTGTGATGTTACTATGCTCTCATTAAAATATCTATGACATTATTATATCATGTAACTGCACAGGAGTTATCAAAATTCATAATTACATTTGTGGATATTGTGTATATGATTAATTATTTGATATTATGTCTCCCCCACTAGAATACATCCTTCTGAGGCAAAGACCCTGCCTGTTCTGCTTGCTTACCACTGTATTACTAGCATCTAGCACAGAGTCTGGTATTAGCAAGAATAGCTGTTAATCAATGAATTCAAAACATGCATAAACATGGATCTGCTAGAAAAAACAGCCTCAAAAAACACACACTCATTTTCTGTCTCTCCAGATTACTTGTTCTGGGAAAATCAGCAGTTATGGCATGAGGAAATTCATGGGAAGGAACTGAGGCTTTGTGCAAACAAGTAGCATTAATTTGCCAGGCATGTAAGAAAGACTCCTTTGAAATGAATCCTCTAAGTCCAGTCAAGCCATCGTAGCCCCAGTGCAACAACTTATTCACAAACTCATTAAAAACCCTGAGCCAGAACCATCTAATTTAGTCACTCTGGACTCCTGATCCACAGAAACTTTATGAGATAATAAATGTTTATTATTGTTTCGAGTCACTAAATTTGGGGTCAATACACAACAACAGGTAATTAATATAATCAATCAAAGCATCCTTAAGTTTAGGGAGGAACCTAAGTATATGTATTTTTTTACAAATTCTAAAACTGATTCTAATAATGTTCCCAAGGTTGAGAGCCTCAGTTGTCCACATTCTTCACTACTTCTTTTCTTTTAAAATTTTCATTTACATAAAATATATTTTAAATGAAACCACATTTTAAATGTAAATAAACTCTACTAGGGAAACAATCCATAACTCACTTAAAACTAACCTGCTATAAAGGTTTATTATCTTAGAAATAATCTCCTAAAGTCCATGTTTTTAAATAACATATTTTGTCTGTATCTTTCATGTATACAATGGGATCCTGATATTAGTATTTGAGTAATTTGTACTCTTATAAAATGATAGAAATGGTGAAACTACAGATTAACTTCTTGCAAACTGCTAAATCTGTTTCAAAGTCATAAAAATTATAAATATTATTTTCATTTAGTTATTTTCCTCTTCCTTACAGAAAAAAGAAACAGAACCAAGTCTTTCCCTCTAGCTAATTAACATACTTACAGATTGGTGAATAAAAGGCATATCCTGTGTAGCAGCTAATCTACTGGAGAAACCTGTGCTACCATCTGGGACGCCAAAATTTAATGGTTCTCTCTTCTTAATGATGATCTGAAAGATTAGTTGAAATAAGATGATAGGGATATTTTACACAGAACTATATAAAAATAGACAAATAAATGTCCCAATGCGTTTTGTAATATGCTGTTGTTCTTTTTCAAAAAAAATTTAATGTAATTAAAAAATACGCTGTTGTTCTTTTTCAAAAAAAATTAATGTAAAAAAATAATCTACAGTGAGTATCCAAATTCTCAGGCAACTGTCACATAGATCAGTTCAATCTAAGAAAAATTTTATTTTACTCCTTAAAAATAAAAAATTCTCATCTCCATTTTTCCTCGTTCACTTTCCCCAGAACTCCAAAATATAATCAGGATATTTAATTACTATATTAAATAATAACACTGATAATGTCCTGCTAAAAGTATCACCAGATCCCTCAACATCTGGGCTAGCTATAAATACAGTAACTCATTTGGGTCAGTAGTAGTAAGACACTCTTACTTGAGTTTTGGTTACTTTTATTAAAACCATTTCCAATCTAATTAATTTTAAAAAGTACTATTATAATAAATATACTAAATTATTATAAAGAACAGCAATATACTTCCATGATACAAAGTGTACATCTACTAAGACACTTAAAGGATCTTTGAAAAATACACAATTTAATGCTTTTCAGTTTTGAGCATTTGGACAATTCAAAAAGGACAATGTAAATTTTATTAACCTAGATAATATAAAAATAAATGTATAGCTAAAATTAGGTAGAAGAGAGTGAGGAAATGCAGTAGGAAGTGGAGAATAAATAATGTCCTCATTTTATAAAGTGTATACATATACATATATATGAAAAAGTTTCCTTATTGGATTGAATAAGAAATGAAGCACTAAAAGTGTGCTTATCTGAAATAGAAGAGTGAAATAAGATTGCAATATATATGAAGGAATTAGAAGAAATAAGAACAATTTGAAATAAATCTTCATTTACTATAGTGTGTTACATTAATGGGTAATGTCCGTGATTTGTAAATCAAATACCAATGTATGATTTTAAAGTCTTGAGGATATAACTTACTACATCTAGATCTAAATCATCTGAACATAGGAAATTCTTATTTAACGTGACAGAAAATAAAATTATAATGAAAAGTAGGCTTTTCAATAAATACTAATTATATTATATTGTCTAATTTAAAAGTGCAAATCTTTAACATACTTTCTGAGTTTTCCGTATAGTTGGTGTCATGTCCTTAAAATAGTCAGGTTCCATTTGTTCCAAAGCATTCTGTTGTGTTGCCACATTCCCATTCCCTCCTTCAATCTTCACACTTGTGGGTGCATCTTCATCCCAGGAAGTCCACTCTTCCACATCTGTCTAAATAACCAACACAGTCAGCCACAAAGGGGCAATGCACTCAGCAGTTCATTAATCATTTATTAGAAAAATGGGCTTCTGAAAACACTGGTTTTCAAACTTTTTTGACCCATGGGAAACTACATAGTTCAATTCACATACCAAAACTAAAACAAATATTGAGGCTGGGGTTGTGGCTCAGCTGCAGAGTGCTTACCTAGCACATGAGGGGCACTGGGTTTGATCCTCAGCACCACATAATAATAAATAAATAAAATAAAGGTATTGTGCCCAACTACACCTAAAAAAATATTTGAAAAATAGAACAGATGTTTAAGAAGTACTTTTATTATGGATAAACCTTCTAAAATATTCTGTTCTGTTCTATTGTGCTCTATTCTTTCCATTAAAAACAAAACACAAAGTAAAAAGAAAAAGAAAATACTCTGAAAACTGAACCAACATTAGGAGTATAGCTCACAGGAGGAGGACTGGAACTTTCCATCTAAGTCTAACCAAACTGATTACTTTATAAAATAAAACATCTGTTCACCTCACAGATTGTTCCTTTTGCTGAGAAGAAACTTCAGTTTGAATCCATCCCATTTATTGATTCTTGGTTTTAATTCTTGTGTTATAGGAATGTTATTAAGGAAGTTGAGGCCTAATCCCACATGATGAAGATCAGGGCCTACTTTTTCTTCTATTAGACACAGAGTCTCTGGTCTAATTCCTAGGTCCTCGATCCATTTTGAGTTAAGTTTTATGCATGGTGAGAGATAAGGGTTTAATTTCATTTTGTTGCATATGGATTTCCAGTTTTCCCAGCACCATTTGTTGAAGAGGCTATCTTTTCTCCAATGCATGTTTTTGGCACCTTTGTCTAATATAAGATAACTGTAATTTTGTGGGTTAGTCTCTGTGTCCTCTATTCTGTACCATTGGTCTACCAGTCTGTTTTGGTGCCAATACCATGCTGTTTTTGTTACTTCTGCTCTGCAGTATAGTTTAAGGTCTGGTATAGTGATGCCACCTGCTTTGCTCTTCCTGCTAAGGATTGCTTTAGTTATTCTGGGTCTCTTATTTTTCCAGATGAATTTCATGATTGTTTTTTTTATTTTTTTGAAGAATGCCACTGGGATTTTGATCGGAATTGCATCAAATCTGTATAGTACTTTTGGTAGTATGGTCATTTTGATAATATTAATTCTGCCTATTCAAGAGCAAGGTAGATCTTTCCATCTTCTAAGGTTTTGATTTCTCTCTTTAGGGTTCTGTAGTTTTCACTGTATATATCTTTCACCTCTTTTGTTAAGTTGATTCCCAAGTATCTTAGAGAAAATTTTTACCCCTCACACATCAGATAGAACACTAATCTCTAGGATATATAAAGAATTCAAAAAGCTAAGCACCAAAAAAACAAATAACTCAATCAACAAATGGGCCAAGGACCTGAACAGACACTTCTCAGAAGAGGATATACAATCAATTAACAAATATATGAAAAAATGCTTATAATTTCTTATAAAATGCTTGTACTCTGTGTAATAAGCAATCAGAGAAATGCAAATAAAAATTACTCTAAGATATCATCTCGCCCCAGTCAGAGTGGCAGCTATTATGAAGACAAACAACAATAAGTGCTGGAGAGGATGTGGGGAAAAAGGTACACTCATACACTGCTGGTGGGAGTGCAAATTGGTACAGCCAATTTGAAAAGCAGTATGGAGATTCCTTGGAAATCTGGGAATGGAACCACCATTTGACCCAGCTATCCCTCTCCTTGGACTATACCCAAAGGACTTAAAAACAGCATACTACAGGGACACAGCCACATCAATGTTTACAGCAGCACAATTCACAATAGCTAAACTGTGGCGCCAACCTAGATGTCCTTCAGTGGATGAATGGATTAAAAAAAATGTGGCATATATACACAATGGAATTTTACTCAGCATTAAAAGAGAATAAAATCATGGCATATGCAGGTAAATGGATGGTGTTGAAGAAGATCATGCTAAGTGAAGTTAGCCAATCCCCCCAAAACAAATGCCTAATGTTTTCTCTGATAATAAGGAGGCTGACTCATAGTGGGGTAGGGAGGGGGAACATGGGAAGATTTGATGAATTCTAGATAGGGAAGAGGGATGGGAGGGAAAGGGAGGGGGCAGGGGATTAGCAAAGGCGGTGGAATGTGATGGACTTCATTATCCAAAGTACATGTATGAAGACTCGAATTAGGTGTCAACATACTTTATCTATAAACAGATATGAAAAATTGTGATATATATGTGTAATAAGAATTATAATGCAAAAAAGTACATGTATAAAGGCATAAATTGGCATGAATATACTCTATATACAAAAATATGAAAAATTGTACTCTGTATGTGTAATAACTGTAATGCATTCCGCTGTCGTGTATTTAAAAAAAAAATCAACTAAAAAAAAAAAAAAAAATCAACATTCTCAGCAGAATTTAAATAAGACAGTCCCAAAATATAACATTCAAAATGTTCATAAAACAATCCAGAATTTATTATTCATCATATGTGGCATCAATAAATCTCAATTCATATGAAAAATTAATTAATAGATGCCAATTCTTCAATGATGTAAATGTTAAAATTATCTAAGACTTTGAAATGTAAAAATGCTCCAAAAGTCATAGCAAACATTTGAAACCACTAGAAAGAATAGAAAATGTCAGCAAAGAAATAGAAGATAAAATGAAGAATCAATTAGAAATTTTAGAACTGAAAAATACAGAACAGCAACAAAAAAACTCAACTACTAAATTATGACCTAATGGTATACAATCCAGGAAAATTCCTGTTCTGTAATACATTCAATTTTTCAAAAAAGATTTACCTGCTTAGGAACTGATGAATAATCAACTGTAGTTGGTAAAGTTATTTGGTCTCCACTTAATTTCCTTCCTCTGCCAGATCTGAAATAATCCATGAAACAATTTATTTCAAGAACAAAATAAGAAGAGGTGAAAAGCATTATAGACAGTAATTTAAGGCTTATAATTATTGATTTTAGTAATTAACTATTGCTCATCAAGCTATGAGGAAAATAAAAAGCATGAATCACAGATCTTGTGAATGTCTTTAAAATCTTACAAAAACAGCTGCTTTTCGGGTTTAGGACTCATAATTATAAATTAAGGAGAAATATAAAGTCAAAAACAAAGATACAAGGTAGTTTCAAACCATGCTCCTTAGAGTGCTATGGGTTCTATAGATGAAGCTCTGGGCCATCTATGCTATTATCAGCATGTGGATAGGCTTTTTATGTTTTACATACTGAGTTCTTGGTAAGACTAACTATTAAGTTTGAAAATCTCTAGATTAAACTAAATTATAAACTGAGTTTTAATGATTAATAGAAAAAGTACTACATTAATTGGACATATTGTTACTCAACTGTTAAGGAAATGGGCTCCAGACACTTTACTGGGAAGGTGGGCTTTGGAATCTGTGTAAACTATGGTTTGCAATGTTACTTCTCAATAGAAGTAACCTCTTAGTTCCAATACCCTCTGTAAAATGCAGGTATTCAAGCCTGCTTTTGTAAGATTGTTGTGAAGATTTAATTGACATGTTTAAAGCCACACAATGCCTGCTACATAGAAAGGCATTCAAAAACTCTGGTAGCTATAACAAACAACTAGTCATTTGCTTAATTTCAAGTAATCTATAAACTATCTCCTTAGTGCTAATTGGTAAAGACAGTTATCAAGTTTAGAAGTTATACATTATTTGTTTAAAGAATTAATAGAGAAGTACTATAGTCCATTACAAAATTTATGACAAAAGCCTGGTGTTTTATAACACATAATCTATGTTCTTTTTGACATTTAAAAGAGGTTTATCTTAACAAAGAGTTGGTTTTCATTAAAACTGAACATATAATTAATCCTAAATATATTTATATTGACCACAGAAATTTATAGTGATAACAGGAAAATCCTTAATAGTTAAAATCAAATGCAGTTTCTTATTCTAAAACTAATTGATATTGACCAGAATTTTTAGAAATTACAAATACAAAAAGAAAACACCTATAATTCATCACAGTGTTAATACAATGCTTCTTTTAACATTCTGGTAATTAATATTCATTCTTATTCTGGTTTACATAGTGAATTTCTCACCCATTTTCCTTTATTCTTGATAACTTGAGTACTTCGTTCACTGTTTTTTCTAATTCCCAAATCCTGTGCTCTTGGGTGATTTCAACAGTCAACCACCTAAATTTTCCATTTCTTTTTTCATTTCTCTTGTAGTGATAATCTCTATTTCATCATCTCATTCCCACAGCAATACGTTTTTCCTCAACTGCAGACCACTCTACTTCCACCAATAAATTCAATGGCACTTAATTCTTTTAGCAGCTACCAAATGGCCATTTAGCTAAATATTATATTTCCCAGCCTACTTTGGATCTAGATGGCTATCTATATAGCTAAACTCCACACAGTGGGAACAGAATCGTTGTGTGCAACTTCTAAATCTATCTACTAAAAAGACAGCTGATTATCATACACTTCCTATTTTATTCCACTTTATTCTTAGTGTGTCAGTAATTTTTTTCACAGTACTCCTAGGCCAAAATAAATATCAACTGTTCCTCTGATTAACCAGTTAGACACAAACAACTTAATACTTATATAGGTCCTAAGTGCTTAGCTACCATTAAAAAGTCAGTTGAGAAAAACAATACACATAAATTTAAAGAAAATGTAGTTTTATTTTTAATGAAATAAAATTCCTTATTAATGCAATGTGTGTGCCTGTTGGACACTGTGTAGCTTCTCAAGCACTTAATTAAATTAGGCACTGCCACCTTCATTTTCTGCTCTACATTTTGGTGTAGTATATGATTTTAATTACAACCTAAAAACCTAACTTTGCAAAGATACCTCACCAAACATACAAGTAAACAAAAATTTGTTTTCAGTGTTAAAAGCGATCCATCATAAGTTTAGAATGCTGCTGGATGTCATGCTGCAAATAGAAACTACCTTGAGTGATGAATTCATGCAGTATTCAACAGGTACTATATCACTATGTTTCACTGGAGTTTAAAATATTTTGTAGCACCCTATAAGAAGCTCTGTGGCACCTTAGCACATGGGTTAGAAGGCATAGCTCTAGGGTATGTTCATGTGACATAGAGAAGGAACTGGACTTTATGGATAATGGATAACCTACTGATGCTGAATAAATTACCTGCTTTGGACCACCTGCATATTTTGGAATATTATTTAAGAAATAAAAAAATCTATTTAATTTAGGGTCTCTGTTAAATTTTTTTACTAATACAAAACAACATTCCTATATTAGTATAGACAGAAATACCTATGCCTAATTTCACTGAACCACCTTAAAACATTCCAATAATAAAACATTACATAAAATTTCTGTGATGATTATAATAATGAAAGTCAGCCTGCTTATTTCTAAAATTCTATAGTATTAAGCATGTTATTTAAATGGAAGATTTAAGAATTTGAACAAACAAAAACAATTAACTTCACTTTCTAGATCTCCAATAGAAAAACAATATTTTTTAAAATACTAGAAATTAATGAACAAATATTACAATCAAGAGAGTGTAAACAGAATCTCTTCTACATTTCTGACGTTATAAAGGAATTCAAAACTAGTTAGAAGATAAACAGGTCAGTTTGAATATAAAATTTACTTACCTGCATATTAATCTTTTTAGGAATGAGAATACTGTTGCTAGGCAGGTACAAACTTTAAATAGCCGAAACTGAGTGATAGCCATGATGAGAATTAAAACCTTCAAAAAAAAGGGTACACATACCCAAAAGCATTAGATGATTTCATACACCATATTCCTATTCTTAAATCAAGTTGGAAAGTACTTATGCACTGAGAAAACTCTTACATATTTTAACTTTTCTCTAGAAGCTACAAATATAACACAATAAATTTTATTGAAGTGTAAATAATATTAACAGCTTTAGAAATTAGGTTTCTAAAGAGTTTTTTAGTTTGTGAAAAAATCCTTTAACACTTTTTATAAATAATTTTGCTTAAATAATCTATTTAGCACAAATTTACTTACAATTTTAGAATTCAAAAAAGTATAAGTATATATTAAATCTTTTTGTACCTTTAGAATTTTGAACTATATGAATATAGCACTATTCGAAATATATTAAACACTTTAATCTTCAGGTAGATTTTGTTATATCCATTTTATAAATTGAAAATGAATTAAGTCCCATAGTTTATGAATTAAAAAGCAACCAAAGAGCTCATCTAGTACAGTGGTTCACAAATCTGGAGATCTGGTCAAAGAAATATTGATACCTAGGCCTATCCCTTAATAAGCAAATTAAATCATTTTATGAAGGGTAAAGTCTGGTCACTGCCAATAAGCTAATAAAAGAGATAAAAACTTATTCTATAGAAAAGACAACAAAAAACAAGGGAAGGAGGAACAAATGACAGTAAGAAAATTTGAAAATAAATTGCAAGATGATAACTGCAAATTACCTAACATTCCAACAAAAAGGCAGAGGTTGCTACGTTGAATAAAAAAGGAAGACCCCAGTATATGTGGCCCACAAGAAATGCATTTTAATATCAAGATATAAATATGTTAAAAGGATGGTGAAACTATACTATGCTAACACTAATCAAAAGAAAGCTGATAGGACTACTTCAATGTCAAACAAGACTTTACAGAAAGCAATATTACCAGGTAAAAAAGTCATTTGACAATCATAAAGGGGCCACTCAATCATAAGTACATTTTAATATAAAACATGTCAAAAACTTTGCCAGTATCTTTTGTGAGAGAGATTATATAATTAGGGCTAACAGATACTAAAAGGATAATGAGAAAACATTATAAGCAACATTATGACTATATTTTACAAATGAGATGAAACAAGTAAATTCCATTTAAGATATCAAAGTACAAGAAGAAATACACAACCTAAAAATCTCGTATCTATTAAAGAAGTTTGATTTATAGTTTAAAAACTTCCAGGTCTAGATGGCTTCACTATTGAGTTCTACCATATACGAATGTTTAATACCAGTTTCACAGGAACTGACAAAAAACTGAAAAAGAATATTTCCCAACTCATTATTTGATATCAGCATTACATGGATACTAATCTAGACAAAGACATTACCAGAAAAAAATAGAGATTAATATCTTAAGAATATAGAAGGCAAAACTGCTTTAACAAAATACTGATAAATTGAATACAACCATACATAAAAAGACTACATCATGACCAAGTTGAGCTCAGCTCAGATTGCAGGACTGATTTAACATTCAACAATCAAAAATAATTCATGATATTAGCATACTGAAAAACATTTCAGTAGAGACAGAAAAACCCTTTAACAAAATTCAACATCCATTTCTGATAAAAACTCGGAAGAACTAGGAATAGAAAGAAACTTCTCAACCTGGTTAACAACATCTATATATGTATTTTAAAAAACCTACAGAAATATGAGAGTAAATGTGTAAAAACTATACCCATCACCCTAAAATCATGAACAACTCAAGTATGTTCCACTTATACCATTTCTACTAAACACTGTAGGGGAGGTTCTGGCAAAAGTAAAAAAGGAAGGAAGGGAAGGGGTTTCGATTAGAAAGAAAGAAAACTGTCTATGAAGAAAATTCGTGAACTCTACAATCAATTTTATTGTTATATTTAACAACAATCAGGAAAAACTGTGTAGAGCATCAATAAATATGATACCTAGGGACAATTCTAATGAAAGATCTGCACACCAAAAAATGACCAAGTATTGCTGAGAGAAATTTAAAAGACCTGCATTAATTTAAAAAGACTTTTTCAGGGTGGGAAGACTCAATATTGTTAAGGTATCAAGGCTCCCCAAATTGATCTTTAGATTTGATGCAATCCAAATGAAAATCTCTGTAGGTTTTTTCTCTAAGTTGACAAGTTAATTCTGAAACTTATATGGAAATGCAAAGAACATATAATTGCAAAAAAAAAAAAACTGAAAAAGAATATGTTCAAGGATTAACACTACCAGATTTTTAAGACCTGTTATAAAACTACAATAAACAAAACTGTATAGAACTGGAGTCAATATATACAAATAGATGGATGAAAAGTACAGAGACAGACCCACATAAAAAAGAACTGAAATTTGACAAAGATGAAAAGAAAAGTTCAGGGGAAAAGGATAGTTTTTCCAACAAATAGTGCTGGAAAAACTGGGTATTCATATGCAAACAACAACAAAAAACTTTGATTATATCTCACACTATTAACAAACAATAACTCAAAATATTATAGACCTAATGTAAAATCTGAAGCTACAAAGTTGTAAAAAAAAAACATTTGTGACTCTAGAATAGAAAGATATTTTAGATTTTTATTTTAAAATAAATACATAAAATGATGGTCAACATCATTAATTATCATAGAAATATAAATTAAAAACACAGCTAGAACCTACTTACACACCTAATTAGAATTGCTTAAACTAAAAATAATGACCATACCAAATACCGGCAAGGATGTAGAGCAACTGGAACTCTCCCACATCAGTAGTGGGAAAGTAAAATGGTACAAAGTTTTTCTTAACTTCTTACAAACTCAAACAAACATAGATAAAGAAAAACACAAGATAAATAAAAGACATGCCCATACAAAGAATTTTACTTGATAGCAGCTTTATTTTTAATAGTTCTAAACAAGAAACAACCTAACTGTATATCAACAGGTAAATGAACCAATTGTGGTATATATATATGTTCAACAATAAAAATGAATGAGCTATTGTTATAGTAATAGCATAAATATGTCTCAGAATAATTATACCAAAATAAAGATATCCCAAAAAAATATATACTGTATGATTCTATACACTTAAAAAACACTCTAGAAAATGCAAACAAGTATATAATAACAGGAAGCATAACACTAGTGCTTTCGGATAGGGCAGGGAGAGGTGGAAAGGATAGATTACTGAGGAGCAGGAGAATATTTCAGAGATAATACATATATTTTTTAAAGTGGTGACAGCTTCAGGGACATGTATTTATCCATCAAAACTAACCGAATCATACGATAAGTGCAATTTCTATAATTCAATTATAGCTCATACAAGCTCTCAAAACAGTCTATACTGAGACATTTTTGGACAACATTATACCATATAAATTAGAAAATTTTTCAAATTGTGGTTTGAAACTCAAAAATTTAACATTATCTTATATTTATTATTTGCTATTCTTTCTGGAGAGCCAATTTCCATTAGGAAACTATGGCAATTAGTAATAAACACATTTCCAGATTTATCTAGGAACTCTAATTTCACAATAGATTTCAATACACTATACTAACTCTTACTATATAATAAGCATTTTTAAATGCTTTACATGGTATAATTCAGTTAATACTCACAATATCACTGTGAAGGACTTGAAACAAGTACTTTTGATCCCTATTTTAGATAGGGAAGCTGAAGTACAAGGGAGTCAAATAACCTGGCCAAAGTCACAGAATTGATAAAATCCAGAACTAGGATTTGAACCTAATTTCCAGAGTCTGAATCCTTACAGATCACACTCAAAGTCCCTCCCCACTGTAATTAAATAAAGACATTATATATATATATATATATGAAATGCTACAGGAACTGAAAACTAATTAAACCTATAGCAATAGAAAAATTCTAAAAAACGGTAAAACCAGTATTATTTTGCCAGCCTTTTAAATATCATTGATTTCACATATTTCTTTACACATCGGAGTTAACTATACCATATATGTATTGCATATATTCCCTTAATAGTCACTATTTATTTTAAGATTACATAAAATGAGTTTTAGCACAAATTAAATTTGACTAAATTAATTAAGTAATCTTGAATACTCCTATTCAGGGTCTCAAAAAATGCAAAAGAGGAGAAAGGCAAATAAAATCTGTTAATGCACAGGAGACAGCCTTTTCCCACTATTGAGGAGGAGATCACACATTAAATCAAGTCACAAGACATACACAGGCATATACACACACACATATACACACAGGAAATGTTTCTGATAAAGGAATTTCATATTTTAGCTTTTCCTTGTTCTTTTGTCAGGAGGAACATTACTGAGTACACATTTAGAACCATGATTCCTGTGTTGGATTAACTTGATAATATATGTCATCCAACTTCTTAATTTCCCAAGCGAGGAAAAAAAAAGTTAACAGTGGTACTCAAGTTAAAGCAACTAAGTAATAACAGTCATAACTAAAAATCACTGGTCTCCCAGTCCATTATTAACATCTTTAGAAATAATTACTATAGTTGGCCAATAGGAGTATTTGAAATAGTGATTTCCTACAAGGGGAAAAATAAAAAAATTTTAATGTTTTTTTCCCCCAATAAAAAAATAATATAATTTGGACTTCAGTTCTATACAAATTTACTTAAAAGGGAATGAAACCAAAACTTAAATAACAATTATCATGTAAGCACATTAAAGAGACAGCTATATGTTTCTCCTCAAACTGAAATACTGATTCATTTTTTAAAATTACTTTATATAAGATAAGCAATAATATCTGTAAAAATAACAAGGACTAAATTCCTATATAAACACCAATCCTATACTATTAATAACATGCTGTTTTAAAACCAATTTATAGGAATTAAAGCAGAGAGCACTTTCTCGTTTTTAATTACTAGTATGTGAGTTGAACATCTCTAATCTGAAGTTTTAAATCTGATATGAGTGCCACATAGAAATTTCACCATAATATTTTATTTAATACACAAAATTACCCTTGGGCAATGTGTATAAGGTATATATGAAACAAATGAATTTTAGGTTTAAACATGGTTCTCATCCTCAAGATATTACATTTTGTGTATGCAAAGATTCCAACCTTCCTTCTCTCCCCAAACAAAATCTAAAATACTGGTCCCATGTATTTTGGATAAAGGATATTCTACCTACATAAACAGTAATCTCTTAAGTTCTTGAAAACAGCATATAATAATGTTTTCTAAACTAACATAATATTTCCTTGCATGGTTTAAAATTTTAATAATAAAAATTAATGGTCATCTCTGAGAGGGAGCATGGGAGCATTAAGAAATTAAGATCTTCATCTCAACCTGGGTGGTAATACCAATATTTACTTTACTATATATATAGTTTATATGTTAGACCTCAACAGAAAAGTTCAAAACACACACAACACACAAAACAAACCAGAAAGCAAGGAAAATAGACAGTTCTCATGGTACCTGATCTTGATTGCTCTCTAGAGCCATTACTGACAGCTCTAAGAAAAACAAAACATACAGCTAGTTCTTTCTATTTCCAGGGCTAAAAAGGAGCTTATAGACTATCAAATGTACAGTGGTAGAGCTCCAAAAGAATCCGAAAGCAATGCTCATATATTTTTGTATATATGGAAGCTGTCTCATCATGAGGTGATTTACTTAAAGTCTGAGCTAGAGAGGGCCTACTAATCGAGAAGTTAGAAACAACAATGACTCCTAAAGAAAGTAAACTAGGAGATTATTACAAATTTCAGTGTTCATGTTATTTAAATACTTCTGCCAAATACATTTTCAACCAATGGTTTACCAACATTTAAAATTAAAACAATATTAACTCCTTTTCTCTCATGTTGGCTTACATTCTAACTGCCAAAAAGACCTTACTGAAATTTACAAATATTGCCCATATTATTTCCTATTTCCACTGAAACTTGCCTGGCAAAAGCTTTTATTACCTCTTACTGGACTAAGGTGATGTCTTTTAATTCCGTTTTCTCTAAGAAACCCACATTTTCTAGATTGTACTATAGTTATTACTATATTATACCCTTACCTGTCCTGCATAATCCTTCTCCACAAGATTCTATTCACCTGCACCTTTAGTTAACTTTTTGCAAAAACTTGAAAGGTTTCAATTGCTTCATTATGAGTAGAATGATCTGAATAAGATGGCAAGAGCTTAATTTCAAGCTGATTTGTTAACAATATAACTCAACCAAAATAAAAGCAAACTTCCCCAAATGACAGTTTAACAGAAATTTTAAGAAAAAAAAAACATATAAAAGGCAGCTAATAGAAAGATTAAAGCATGTGGCAGTTGGTGAGAAAGAAAAGAAAACCAAAGAGATACTCCAGCAAGACTTTTGAAAGAAGACACTATTTAGGTAATGGGAACAAGGGCTGATCTCAGAATATATATGGATAAAAAGATGAAAACAAATTTCATACAGAGCTTGGTAACTACAGCCATTACCTTCCTACAAATACTGTTGGTGTCATTATTAGATAAGTATTTGTCCACTTGAATTATTCCAACAGTAACAGGAAATAAAATTTGAAGTTTTTTTCCAATAGAAAAACAGAAAATTGTACTATTGCTGATTACAGAATAGAATTCCTTCCATTGCAATTAAGAATAGCCTCATTCTATGGAGAATTTGTTTTGTGGTTAGTGAGAGAAGAGAACTAATAGTCATTGACCATCATCATCTTAATATTACCTCATGTAATGTACAAAACCATCGTGAGGTTTTGTTTTATTTTGTGCCAGGGATTGAACCCAGGAGAACTTTACCACTAAGCCACATCCCCAATCCTTTTTTATTTTTTGAGATAGGTCTTGCCAAGTTGCTTTGGCCCTCACTAAGTTGCTGAGGCTGGTGATTACAGGTGTGTGCCATGGCACCCAGCCATCATGAGATATTACTGTTCTTATTTCATAGAACTGAAGCACAGGGAGTAAAGACATTTCCATATTCCTCTATCCAATGACTTGTATTCAAGCCTAGATTGACTTAATTCAGCAATCAAGAATAAATCACCAAAGGGTTGGGAAAGTGGCTTAATGGCCAAGTGTTTGCCTCACAGGCATGAACCCCTGGGTCTGATCCCCAGAACCACAAAACAAGATGACTAACCAAAAAACAAACAAACAAAAAGCCTTAAATAAGAATAACTCCCCTAAAAATAAACATTTTTAGTAATTCAGTGAAGATATTATAATTTCCAAGATAAAATTTCCAAACAGTTGCAATGAAATGGGAAAATGCAATCAAGCTATCAACCGACACTTCAGATTTTAATAATTACCCTGATTTGCAGACAGGAATATTCTTCTAGACTTGTATTTACTTAAAGTTACAAATCAATTAAAGGACTAAAAATATTACTGTGTAACAGACACTACATTGCACACTGGAAAACACTCCCAGGCCAGCACACTGAAACCTTGCATCAGCTGCTAAACTATCATGAACTTGAATGCATACTTACTCCTCCTATTGATTACAAAGGGGCTAAGGAGGTAGAACCCCATTAGTGATGCTCAGTTGATATTTCTAGGTTTTAGACAATGCCAAATACATGGTAGGTACTCAGATATTTCTTGAATGAAAAGAAATAAACATTCTTGAAACACTGATCTATTCAAGACATAGTTCTTGGCCATGTATGTTCTTCCACTTCACTGGAATCATAATGATGACCAAAAAAGGCTGGTGTCTCTATTCCCATTTCAATTGGAAATGGAGGTCAACAATTGGCCTGGGTGAGTGAGGCACAGAATCAGGCACCCAGGATTTAAAGAGACTGATGAACCCAAGTCCCAGCTCTCTCCACATCATATTCCAAAACTTTTAATTTTGTACCCATTGCTTCAAGTATGATTTTTGAAAAGCCGTCAAATAATAAATTTGATTAAGTATGTATCTTAGACTTAGCAGTTTGGTTGCTTTACAATACTTTCTGGGACTAAGCAATACTATTAACCTATTAAATTTTCCTTAATAATTACTAGGAAGATACAGAAACTTGAGATATAGCAAAGTAAATTTCAGGACTATGAAACAACTTATCTTCAGAGCTTTTGAAAATAATGACATCTCTAGGAAATCAAAAGGAATGAGAGCTCTGCTGCGTCAAAACATTTTTCCTACAATAAAAAGTATTATCTAACAGCAAATGATAGATCAAAGACATCTTTCCTTCTCGTAATTCTCAATAAACCGCTCGAAATCCCATGGTGTAGATCCACTCTGTCACGATTCATTAAACAAGCCAGCCAATCTGTTTCTTACACACTGAACAAGTCGTCAAGTGCTGTATTTCCAAAACTACATTTCTGAATCTTTTCATACCAACGCTTGAAAAACCATATAATCAAGTACGAGACGGAAATATCCTCTAATTAAATCTGTAATTCTCTAAAGTAGCTTAAAGGAAAGCTTCAAAAAGATAAAATTTACCTGGACTCACTTGAATTTGAAAAAGAAGGGTTCAGCAGTAGCAGCAAGTAAGAAAAGCGGAAACAGAAGTGGAGTGTGAGAGCTGGCTGTAAAAGCCAACATTCTGTACCATCTGTGGCAACTGTAAGTTCGGGCCCTCAATGTGACACCACTGGGACTGTTAGCAAGGGGTACGTCTCCTAGAAGTCTAAATTGAGTTTCATAACTAAAATGGTTTAATTTCAGATCCCCCACCTAAAACTGGTTGATGGGGGAAAATCATACCCACTGCACAGATGAGAAAAAGTGCGCGCTTTCAGGTCACACGTCCCACGCCCTGCGCACCGCGTTACGAGGAACGCTCACGGTTCCCGGAGGTGGGTGCCCGGTGGGCTGGGACGTGGACTGTGGGCAAATCGGCCTTGAGAGGTGCGAGGCCTCTAGAGAGGGCAGGTAGGACCGGCGAATTTCCCTCCCGGGACGGGTATTTCACCATTGGGGGTGTTCCGGGCCGGTGCCTCAAAGGCCCGTCTCCCACGCGTGAGCGCGCCATGGCAAGGGCTACAAGCCGAACCGGCTCCTAGTCGCGCTTCCCGCATCCCAGAGGTCACCCTGACCCGGAAACAGTACCCTAGAGCGGCGGTCGGCCGTGGGGGGAGGCGAGCTGGAGGGGCGCAAAGAAAGGTGGGAGGGCGGGAAGTGGGGGGCGAGACAGAGGGCTGACGGGGAAGGGCAGGTGACACCCTAGGGCTGGGGCTGGGGTCGAGGTGGGGATTGGGAGAGGAAAGCCCCTCGCGGGCGCGCGCAAGCCAATACACTCACCTGCCCCTCCCCCTCCCCGCCCGGCGGAGGCTCCGAGCTGCCGCGGGCCGCGCGCGCACACGAGGCGCGCGCGCGCTGCCGTTCGTTTCTTTGAGCTCGCGCTCCGCCTTTTCAGTCCCAGCCCCGCTCATTCAAAGCCGGGCGCGCGCTCCGTCGCAGCCGCCGTTGCCGCCGCGCAGCTGCCATGGCCGTCCCCTCTTCGGGAAACCCTCCCCCAGCCCCTCCCTCTCTCCCTCCTTGAAGGCGGCTCTCGGTTGTCTCCAGGCGCTCACTTCCGCACCCCGCCCCAGCTGCTGTCTGGTCCAATAGGCAAGAAGCTGTGGGTCTGACGTCGGAACTGGAAGCCAATGAATGTCGAGGGGCGGGGCGAGCGGCGGCCTGCCTGCGGAGGTTTGGTCGCGGTTGGGTTTTTGTGACTGTTGTAAATTGTGTGGGCTTCTTCACTGGAGCTCCTGGGTTTGCGCTAAGTTGTTCTACTTTCCGTATGTGTACAGTGCCTCCCAATCAAACCCTTTTCTTTTCTGTCCCACCCACAGAATCCTAATGCCAGACGGTACTAAGGAAAGGAGCATCTATTTTGCCAAAAAGTGAGAGCGTCCCCCTCTGTCCCAGCATATTTGGGATGTGGCCAGGACAGAGCCTAGTCCTCAGGGATGCTAAATGCTGAGTTTCATTCATTGGCCTCTTCCGCTTTTTTTTTTTTACTAAATTTTCTTTTTTAAAAAACTATATTTTTCTAGTTGTAGATGGACACAATCCCTTTATTTTATATATTTGTTTTTTACGTGGTGCTGAGAATGGAACCCAGTGCCTCACATGTGCAAGGCAAGTGCTTTACCATTGAGCTACAACCCCAGCCCCCTAAATATTCTGCAACTGAAAGTAAAAACGTTATATTTCACTGAGTTCCTTCATTTGTACCTCTAGTGCAACCAGGGCTGGCCATTCTGCCAAGTTGTGTTCTTTTAGTTGTTCTGTCTTTGCAACCTGATTTAATAATCATTAATAATAATCACCACCACCACCATCTTCTCCCCTCTCTTTCTCTCTTCTGTATTTTCTCTCATCCCATGCTTTAAAAACCTGGAGTTCTTTGCTCTTGTTGGCAAGGAACACTCAGAAAACTGTTGCAGATTGGTGAGGAAGGCTTGAAGTTTGTATGTGTGGTCGAATGCTGAAAACAGTTTATGCAAATTGTTGCTCCACTAGCTTTTTTCTTCAAATACCTCTTTTTAAAAAAACTACTACTACTTTTGTTCTCTCACCCTGACCCAGCACTGACCTACTTGTCTTTGTAGTAATCTTCCTCCACCTTCCCCACTCCAACCTACTCCACATTTCTATTAATTAATATTTTTATCTCCAAGGAAGGAAGTGAATTTAACTCTTACTCAGGTTCTGTGTAAACATAGATACATTATTTAATCCCTTAGCCTCAGTTTCCCATCAGTAAAATGGCCACAATAGTGCCTACTTCATAGATTGCTAATGCTTTCAAAGTTGTTAGCACATAGCAGGTATTCACAGATAATAGCTGTTACTGCATTACTGGTATTACACTACATCTTTTAACTGTAGCTCCCCAAATCCATGAAATTCTCTGTGGTCCCTTAACTGCCTGCTCTAACTTTTATATCTTATTTTGCCTAAATTCCAATAATCTGAAATTTCAAATACTTTTTGGATTCCCCAAATCCAATAATCTTCACAGCAAAAAAAAATTAAACCAGGGATTGAACCCAGGTATGCTCTTCCATGGAGCCAAGTCCCTATCTCTCTTTATTTTCTTTTTTTTTAATTTTCAGACCGGGTCTCACCCAGTTACTTAAGGCCTCACTAAATTGACAAAACTGGTTTTGAACTTGCTATCCTCCTGCCTTAGCTTCTGGAGCCGCTGAGATTAGAGACATGCATCAATGCACCTGGCTATAAATATTTCCAATTTTTTTCCTTGAAGACTTATATCTTGGCTTCATGTGCCCCATGGCATTTTCTTTCTTTCATGATTCTACAATTTTCTTTATTAAATTTGCCGCTTCCACATGAAACAAAACAAAGATATGTTTCTGGAGAAACAATTAGTTACAGAATACTTATTTCCCAACACAATAACAAATAGAGAACAACAAGGCTTGCTAAGGATTTCAACAAGTTTTATATTAGAAATACCTATGAAAGAATATTTTTAAGTCTTCTTTACTTGTTGAGTGGTAACGCCATAATTGGAGATTATGGATGTCAGTAATTTGGAATCTTGCTTGGGGATCACCTCTTCGGAATGTGCAGTCTTGTCCTTTGCCCAAACCTGTGGGAGCATCTGCAGGGCAGCACCAAATGTCAAATGGGAGAAACATAAAGGATAGAACTTAGTTTATGAAAAAAATAATGAAAATGAAAGAACTTAGTAAGTGAAAGATATTTTTCTGGATTGCTTATACTCATGGGGTATAGTTAATTCTGCCTTCTCTGTGCACAAACTATTTTAGCCACTTTAAAGTATCTGATCAGCCTCTGCCCATCTCCAGTTTGATTTATTTGGGCTATTAGCTTTTAAGCCACATCTTAGTCTCCCTCTTCAAAGCCTGCATAGTCTTTGTTGTTCTGAGTTCTCCAGCTGGTGCTGATTCCTATATGGTCAACTGACCCTGCCTAAGAGGTTGGAGCAGACCTTGAAAACACAGTTCTGTGCTTACAGATTTTCCTCAGACCCAGTTCCCTGGCTCTTCACCAAAGGTGTTGGTTTTGGGGTTTTTTTTCCCCCTCTGCTCAAGCACAATTTAGACCTGCTGTTCTGACTTGGACTTTAATGGGTTTTTATTAATGAGCAGCTGTTCATGATTGAATACAGATCATAAAGTCATTTTTTTGATCAAGCAAAATAAAACCTTGCAGCTCATTAGAGTGATGGCTTTGAACAGATACATTTGAAAGTATAGAATTTTCTGATGATAATTTTAATGGATAAGTTTTATTGCTCTTTCTACTAGAGAAATGTCCTTGCTTTCAAAATAATAAACTTTAATATTCTGGAAAATTGTATGATTTTTTATATTGAAAATCACCATTTAATAGTTAAAGTCAATTGCTTAATAAAGAAACGAGTCTGAAGAAGGCTTTTAATTTCTGTGCCACTAAATGAAAATTAACTTTCCGTGAAACATTTAAGTAAATATTTTCCATCATAATTGTTACCACAATCAGTAGTTTTTATTGCTTAATACAAGACCCAAGATTTAAGAAAAGTTTGAGAGTTAACTAGTTCCTTCAAAAGGGACCTGCATTGAAATGGGGGGAAAAATGCACTTTTCTTTTTTTTACTAGAAAAGTATTCAAATTAAAATATGAATGAATTCTCTTTCTATGTCCAGTAGTGAGATTCAGAAATGGAATACTACTTGGCTAATGTCCATATTTTTAAAAGAGCTATCATATAGTTCAGGTATATTATGATTTAAGTAGATTTGATATGAACAAGATCTGCAGTCTAAGACCTTTAATTATTTTTATTATTTCTAAGAATAAATATTTTTATTATTTCTAAGAATAAATGTGTTGAAATAATATAATCCATATTGTATATGAGTTGAAAATTTAAAACAATACTGAACTAACAATGGAAGACTCATCCCTTCAGCTTCACAACATGGTGGTCATTTCAACTGTGACCTTGAACAAGTTTGACTCAGTTTTCTCATGGGCAAAATTAGGTTTATAATTCCTTACGTGTGGATTTATTTTGCAAATTGAATGTCATAATGTATTGGAATTGTGTTGGAAACATAGTGATAAAATCAATGAAAGCTTCTAGTTATACAGGTTTATTATCTTCAAGTCCAGTAGAATCCTCTGGAGTTCATAAAAAGAAATGGTGCTTTCAAGAAAAATACAAGTAAATTTTCCTTCATCATCAACCAAATAAAGACATGTTTGTCAATAGCTCATTAAAAAAGGGAAAAGGGAGGGAACAGTAAGCTTTGAAGCTGTAGCCAGAAATCAACCCTCTCCCCTTGGCCTCCTCCCACTCCTTTGACTTAAAAGTCATAGGATTGAAAAGAAGCTGTTAGGACTACAGCACTACAACACTTCCCTCTCTTCAGGCTTCTCTCACCATTCATAAGATATTTTTCTCATAAAAGCATTTACTGCCAAATTTTGTCTGTTCTTTCCGTGTTCATCATTTCAGCACATGAAGATTATCATAATGATCCCTAACTAGACTTGTATATTATTTTTTCATTCCTCTAAGTCATTTCAGTGCGTTGTTGTCCAATTACTCTAAATAATTTCAAAATACAGCCTTCTTTATGGTAACTTTTATTTTCAAGATTTGTTCACTACTGTCCATCAATTCATCACTTAGGAGAATGTGTCTTGATTGTTGTTCTTTTTAAGTCAGTCTTCCTTCCTTCCTTCCTTCCTTCCTTCCTTCCTTCCTTTCTTATCTACCTGGGATTGAATCCAGGGACGCTTAACCACTGAGCGACATCCCCAGCACTTTTACTTTTTATTTTGAGACAGGTTCACACTAAGTTGCTGAAGCTGACTTTGAACTTGCTATCCTCCTGCCTCAGCCTCTGGAGATGCTGGGATTTCAGGCATGCTCCACCATGCCCGGCAGTCTTAATGTATTTCTAACAGTTGTTTTCGAATCTTCCTTAGGCCACTTCTGGCCATTGAAAATAACAAACATATCAACAATTCTTGTTAAGAATTGTCTATATATACTGTACATCTTGTTTGTCTATATATACTGTACATCTAGTGCAATGAAAACTACTCACCTTCTCATAGTATTTCTTGCTGTAGTTCCTATTTGAAATTATATCCTTTATAAGTGAGAATTAAATTCATGTTATAATCATACAAGAAATTTTTAGTGTAAAAGCTTTATTTATTTTCCTTATTCCTAAGGAGAATTTATATATATGAAGGATCATCTGCCTGAATACATTAAGAAAAATCAAATGAAAATACTCTTTTCACATAGCCAGCATACTCATAAATATCTTACCCAAAAAGATTTTGTTTTCTGCTCAGAGGCCCAGAGCCCATTACTATAGCAACCATAACTAGTTGGTCTATAACTGGGTGTGAATTTTATACACTGTTATTTGAAACATAAAGGCTGTTAAGTCAAGATAAAATACAATTTCTGTAATATTTTGTATTTATTTCTTTCAAAAATCTGGTGGGGGAAGGTT